TGATCATATTAGATGAGGATCCATCAGTTTAATTCACCCCATATTTTCTGTTTTGGTTTTTTGAGACAGGGTCTCACCATGCTGTTCAGGCTGGTCTTAAACTCACTATGTTGCCCAGGCTGGCCTAAAACTCCTGATGATACTCCTGCCTCAGCCTCCTGAGTGCTGGTATTACAGGGGTGTGCCACCACTCCACCTAAAGACCCTACAAAGTCCCATTCTGAGGTATTTGGGGCTAGGGCTTTAGCATATGAATTTAAGAGCAACATAATTTATCCCATACCACCTTAGGTCACCTGTATGTCCTGCCTCCAGTGTCTCCAGAGGAGGTGGTATTCTAGGACCAGTCACTAGAAGCACAAGTTCCCAGAGGTAGCACCCTGTCTTGCCAGATCAGTGACAAATACGTGCATTGCAGTACATGTCCAGCCTCACTTCCTTGTATCCAAGAGTTGTGTCACTCTTCCTGTGTCCATGGTGTGTTGAATGTACAGAAGTTGCTCTCCCAATGCCCTCAGTCAATGAGTGATAGGAGTAGGAGAATAAATACCCAGCTCCCTTGTCTTTAGGAAGGATAAGTCCAAGGCTGATGTCCAACTGTCCCTGGACTCCTCCAGCAGGATTAAATCTGATTGGTAATTTATTTTCATAACCCTTCCCTTCTCTGTCCTCTTCCCTACCAAGCTTCCTAGGGCCACCTCCCAAACTACTATCTCTGCTTCTGAGAGGATGTGAACTTGGATAGGAAGGCAGTGATATTGGGAAGGTGGTGCCTGATCATGCTGGGCTAGAGTCAGGCTAATCAGGCTGACTGGTAATCATGTGTGAGCAACTACTTTGTAAAAGGATCAGCTTTGTAAAAAATGTTTTCTATTTTTTGAGGAAATAAATTTGGAATATTGGAACATATTTGGTCTTAGAAGACCAACTCAAATGTAATTCATGAGAAATCACATACTTCTTTCAAGTTTTTTCTGGCCTTCATGTGTTAAATGGACACAATACGTCTTTCTTAGGGTTGTTGAGAGAATTTATTAAAATAACATTGAGAAGAGTTACCACATAGTAGGGTCTCAATATCTGTTGACTATCAATCTAATTTATGAAGGCTAGATACTACACTTCTTCTAATTTTAATGGTTACATAAACATGATTTATTTATATAGGACTTTAACAACCCCTAAGTCAATGAAATTAACTGTTGAAATAAGGTTGTTCAGAAGTGACATCTATGTTGTGATTAGATGCTCCATGATGAATATTTCCTGGAAACACTTAACTCTTAAGTCCTATTGCCTGGGAAGTGTGAGTATTATATTATATAGCAAAAGGGTCTTTGCAGATGTGTTCAAGGTAGCATTTTGAAACAGGAAAATTATTCTGGATTATCCTGATGGGTTTGATATGATCACAAGGGTTCTTTTCAGAGGGAGGAAAACAAGGAAGAGCAAGAGAGAAGGTGAGGTGACAAAGCAGAAGAGTGATGTGTTCACAAGCCAAGGATTGCTGGCAGACTCTAAAAATTGGAAAAAAAACAAGGACTAGATTATCACCTAGAGCTTCCAGGAGAAACTAGTCCTGTCAACACCTTAATTTTAATTGCCTAAGACTCATTTTGGAGTTCTGATTTCCAGAACTGGAATACTATATATTTGTGTTGTTATAAGCCATGAAAAATTGTTACAGTGGTATTTCCCTAGCAGGGCTCCAAGAAGAATTAGTTTAACTCTCCATGCAAGAGGAGTGACCACAAAATTCAGCAAATGTTTAAAAATGTATCACAGTAAAAGACACATCACCATTAATTGACTTCAAATTGCTCCCTCTGGCTTTGAACATGCTTATCCCATTGTTCTTGCCACTTTCTGCAGCAGTTCTGGACATCCTTTTTCTTGAGTGTCTTTACAAGGTGTGATAAAAATTACAGTGAATGCTGCCACTGAGTGCCGTCCAACAGAATAAAAACATTACAGTGTACCCTCATTCACCTTATTCACCACATCTGACACTGTGGGACTTCTGGCTCTTCCCCAAAGTCAAAATGATCCTGAAAGGGGAGAATTTTTGAATGGATTCCAGACATCAAGGCAGCCACAACAGTACAACTAGTGATACTCATGAAAGAAGACTTCCAGAAGTGTTTCAGAAAGTGGCAACAATAATGGGATAAATGTGTTCAAAGCAAAGGAGAATATTTTGAGAGTGGCGGTGTGTCTTTTATTGTAAATTTTAAAAATGTAAACATTCACTGTATTTTTATCACACTTCATAATGTGTGATTTGCAGTAAGCAGGCCCAGTAACTAACCCAGACATTGCCTCATCACTGACATTAGTTTTACTTGAATTCAATAGAGAAAAATGTATAACAGAAACATGTTTTCAGTAAGTAGCTGCTCCAAACTTTAATCTCAAGAAATGCAAAGTTAATAAGATATTTATCTTGTGTACCCAAGGCAACTGATCCCCATGTTAAGACCTGGAGGGCTGGAAATGGTGCTTAGATCAATAAATGTTTTAGACCAGTGCTACAAATATAATAGATATATACTGCATATAAAGTTTTCTAGTAGCCTCATTTTTAAAAATGTGCAACAGGTGAAATTAATTTTCATAGCATATATTAGCCAATGTTGTATATTCACAATGTTACAATTTCAACAGGTCATTGACATAACATAATCAGTGAGACAGTTCTTGTGCATTTTTTCACACATCTTGCAATTTCACTGTGTATTTTACTGATACAGCACATCTCATCTTGGGCTGGCCACATTTCAGGAATTCAGTAGCTACCTGGGGCTCCTGCCTACCACAGTTTCTGTAGTGGACACAGAAGTTCCAGAGTATCTAAACAGTTCTGATACCCAGAGTGCAGGAAAAGTGTGAGAAAGGGCAAATTCTCGTGTTTCAGAGGAGGTAAATGCACGTAGCTAATGAATTATGCATTTGATGGGTGCTAATTGTCTACTATGCACTATGTGCCATTTAAGAGGAATATAATTTTCAAGGTCACAAAATCATGGCACAGTGTTTCAACTGGAAGCAATTGGTGCTTATGTTAGAAATCTGTGTGCCATAGCTTTCGCTACAGACTTCACTGAAATCTCAGAAAATAACCACTAGGTGCGCTTTCCTCTCTTCTCTGTACATGTGCTGTCCTGAAGGTGGAGTTTGGAGTTAATTAAATGTGATCCCTGGGAAGTTCCAGAAGAGTCAGCCATTTGATATTTCCAAGCAGATAATAAACTCACTGGCTCAGGACCCTGATTCTGTAAAGAAACCATGTTTCACATCTTGAGAACTGCAGAATCCTGACATGAATTCTTCAGTTTATTGGGGGGCTTTTCGGCTTTTAATTTAATTTGGTGGCACTTTGAAAGTGAAGCTCCAGGAGGTCAGTTTGCCCTCTGCTAAAGTACTATTAATCTCATCTCCAAATCGCACTCGGGCTTTTCTAAAGTGGGCTTTCTAGGAAGACGAGAATTCACAACATTCAAGGAAAATGTGATTATAAGCAAATTGCATCTGCTTATGCTTTTATCACGGGGAGGAAATTGAGACCTGCCATCATACATTCTGAAGACCTGGCTTGCGGTTCATTCTGTTTGAACTTCAAAATCCCTTTTAATGCCATGGCTGACTCTGATGAAAGATTTTTTCTGTAACTCAAACAAACTCAGGCAGGCTCCCCTTTAAGAAGCCTGAGCCTAACAAGGCTGTTCTCCTGCCCTCCTCAGGAATCAGCTCTGGAAGCTCAGCCTCGGGTGAACCTATTGGGAGACATCCAGAGACCTCTTTTCTTTGTCACAGCTTGGAGAGAGTTAGAGGTGTGGCTAGGGTTGTTACGGATGGGCATCTAGTGGGAAGAGGCCAGAGCTGCTGCTAAACTTCCTACAGTGAGTGCAGAGGAGAGCCCCACCCCCACCCCAGTGCATAATGATGCAGCCCAACCCAAAAGGGTAAAGATGCTGCAGGAAAGAAACCCACTGCAGCAGACATGGAAGGAGAAAGAATCCATCACAGCCCAGGACCTAGGAGACCTCTTCCTGAGCATCTTTCCCAGAAGGCTGCCCTGCTGCCCTGACGAAGAGCAGGGACGCTGGGTAACTCTGCCTAGGTTTGCCTTCCCAGCTCCATCACTTCCTGGCTGTGCCTCTTTGGACAAGTTACTGGACCTCACTGTGCCTCCATTTTTCTCCTCTGCAACACAGGGGTGATAATATTAGTGCACTCCTCACAGAGCAGCGACTGTGTGGTATAGGACCAAGGGCTTTGGGTGGGTGCATAGCTCTAAAGTGCTTACAACCGTGCCTGGTGCACTGTGGCAGGGTGTCTTTACTAAGGGGCTTGGCAGATATCTAGGGATAAGGTTTAGGTTCAAAAAAGCTTCTGAGGGGTAAGGAAGCGGCTCAGACTCTGCATTGCCATAGCAAGACTGAGAATTGTTGTCGTGTGGCAACCACGGTCTTTTCTTTCCAGTTCAACCCCCTGAAGCAGAAGGCCGCTGAGCCAGGAGCAGCGCACTGGCGGCTCAGCGCAGGAGCCTCCTATAGACGACAGTTTCAATCTCTCCTTCCCCCTCAAAACCAGCTGGTGCCCTTGGGATACAGTGGCAACCAGCAAACGGTACACGGAAGCCGCCCGGCCACCTATGCACACGGCGGCCCCTGCAGAGAGCGAGGTCTTGGATCACCAAGCCTGCACCCCACCACCACCACCTGGGCTGTGCTCAGAGCCTCCCCTTTGGCCGCCTTGGCCAGGGACACAGCCAAGTGGGCTGCAGCGCGAGCAGACGCGCGGGATGCAAAGCCCGACCAGAGGGGCTGGGAGAGACAGCCGCGGGCCCGGGATGGCATACTGCTCACCTCCTCGCGCGGAGCGCCCAGCACTCATGCACACAGGGTGTCCGCAGGGTGCTCACCGCAGCAGCAGGGGTCAAATAGAAGGGGATCCAAAGGGAGGGTTGAGGCTGGGTCTGTGGCCAGCCAGACACTCACCTGGCCGCGTTCCCTAATCCACCTGCCACCCAGGGGAGCAGCAGCTGGAGTGCGAGGCCCCAGGACGGCGGCATGTTCGCGCCAAGCGTCGCCCTCCTCCTTCTGCGCCCCCTGGCAAGGCGGTTGTCTGGATGTGGGTCTCCGTGAGCGCCGCCTCCTCTCTCCTCTGCCGCTCGGGGACTCGGCTTGTCTGCAACTTGCGGTGCAGTCCTAGCTCCAGCGGCTGTGAGAGGCTGGGGTGCCTGGCGAGGTGCGTTCGCTCCTCCGCGGGGAAGCAGCCTGGAGCAAGAGCGAGAGGGCGGGGCCCCTAGGCCGTGCACATCTGGTTGGGACCCGCCTCCATCCAGCACGACCCGCGCCTCCTCCGCCTCTGCACCCAGAAACTGTCCTCAGACTCAGGGCACCACCTATAGCCGCGCATTTCGGGCAAAGGACGCGTTTCGGTGATTCCTGAGCTCCGGGGATTAAGAATGTAGCTGAGAAATCAAAGTAGGGCCAAGGGTGCAGGTTCAATACAACTCGTTGTGTTATCTCACTTTGGATTAGGGTTTCCTACTCTGCCAGGTTTTCTGCTAGACTGCAAATCTCACGGGATGCTAGAGTTGGATGCTCACCAATCCTGTGCAATCCTGTCACTTGACAAGTGATCTCTCCAGCTTCCTTACAGGGGCCCCAGATGAGATGGTAATATAATAGCCAGTGCAGAAACCAATAGCACAAATAGGGGTGTTTTGCAGCGCGATGGGAAAATATGGTGAAATGTCCCATTTTTAAAATATTACAGTAAGGGACACATTGCCATTGAGTCCTGTCAGAATGTGCATCCTCATTTCAAAAACAGGTCTCCCATCATTCTCGTCATTTTTTTCCTTTTTAAATTCAGTTTGGGGGTTTCCTCCTTATTGGTGTGCCTCCTACTGTCCCCCACAATTTCAGTCCCTTCCACTAACTTCAAAAAGAAAGTAGTGAAAGGAAAGGAGAATTGGGGTTCTGGGCCCCCTGGGAAGTTAGAAAGGGACAGAAACCAAAACAATCACTATGTGCGACAGATTGACAATCAAGAAGTCTGGAGCAGAATGTGAAAGGAGGGCAAAAAAATAAGAAGAAAAAGGGAAAGGGAGAGGTACAAAAGACCATGTGCTCAACCACCCCTCCTGCTGAGACAGGCTGGAGAGAAAGCTGCAGACTTTGACAAGTGTGGGTGCTGCAGAAGGGAGGCTGTGCTTGAGCCCGAAGGTGGGAAATCAGGGAAGGGGTGCCACTTCTCTCTCTTTAAGGTCCCTCCCCTTAGGGGCAGCAGCTTCACAGACTGTCGATACTTTCATCACCCTAAGCACCGCATAGAGAGAAATCTTCATGGTGTTCCTGGTATAGCTGATCCATGGAAGCACTGGTGCGTGGAATGACACTGTTGACAAAGAAAAACTAGGCATCCTCAGCTCAGAGATGAATTTGCTGATGAATCAAGAAGTAGAACTGATCTACTGTGAGATCCAAAGGCAGTAGGTGTATCTTTTTGTCCAGGTCCGCTAGCCGAGCTTTGGGAGCCTTTTCTGCTATCATCAGGGCCTGGTCCTGGTGTTCCTGCAGGACCCTCTACTCTCAAAGCCCCGCTTCTCTAACCCGTGCTCTTCTTCATCCACGCATGTCATCCTTCCGGGAACCAGGCTGGACTAAGCTGGGTAGGGCTCTTGAACTTTCCAGAGCTCTGGAAGTTCTCTTTCCTGACTGTCTTTTAGTTGTGGTGTTGTGGCTGTCCTTGATGTCCTGAATCCACTCAACATGTTCACCATTGGTGGTTATTTTGACTTTGGGGAAGAGCTAGAAGTTGCTCAGTGCCAGAACTGGTGAAGGAGGCTGATGAACCTGCCTTCCTGCTGGATGGTGCTGGGCAGCAGCATTCACTGCATTTTTTTTTTTTTAATCATACCTCATAAAGACCTCCACTCCCCCAGCTGGGAAATGTCAAAGGACTGAGAGTCAGAGAGACTAAGCGGCTTGCTTAAGGTCATAAAGTAGGCTTGGGAACTGGGGCTTTCCTCCACTGCTGTTAGATGTAATATTTTTGGTCTTCTTATTCCTTAGCTGCTTCACATGTTAAAGGAGTCTTGAGGATAGGTAATACGATGATCTCTTCAAAGCTCTTATCAAAACCCTTTTTCCTCTTCCTTGTTTTATTAACTGGAAATATTAACATTGAAAGACAAGAATATAAGGGGCTGGGGATTTAGCTCAGTGGCACAGCGCCTGCCTGGCAAACGCAAGGTCATGAGTTTGATTCCTGGTACCGGAAAAAAGACAAAAAATAAAAACAGAAAGACAAGAATATAACTGTATATCTCCACATACCTTAAAGAAAATAAAATTTATCTTGCTGTGGCTTTCTAAACAAGCAGACACAGAGGCAAGGGATTGAGTGGAAGAGTTCATTCTGGAGGTCCAGAGTTCCCTGGGAGGGGAGTGAGGGATGACCTGGGAAGAAGACAGTATCAGACATATATCAAGTTACTGTAAGCAACTGAACCTCCGTGCTGCTGGCCGTCTCCCAGAAGGAGCACAGAACACGCATCTCCCAATGATCTCCCCCCCCCCCGAAGTGAGGGAGCTGGGGTATTTATACTCCATATCCACTCAGTCATCACCTGATGGTTTCTCCCAGGGTACTGATCCTAGGGCTTCTGCTTCCTGTGCTGAGGGCAGAGTGGGTGAGATGGCTACGGTAAGCCTTCAGGCAAAGGGCTGTGGACAAGACTGTTGAGAGTCCCACTGAAATGCAGGGCCTGAGAGGACACGGCAGGTTGCCACATAGGCTGCTACCTAATGTCTGGAAATTGAACTGAGTTGAACATTTTGAGTTTGGGTGCATGCCACTTCTCCCTAAACATTCAGATATGAAACACTTTCACCTTTAACTAAACCATTATTCATAAAACCCCTAATTAGGCATGGTTAGCCTAAGGTGTTCACCCTGTCTTCTTAGCATCCTGAGTTAGAAAGATCAATAGAGCATCTTGCAGTAATTCTTATCAGTCTGTTTTTAGCTTCAGTTTCAGCAGTTTGATGCTGTTCCTGGTTTTCAGAGCCAAAGCCTTGCTAGGCTGAAGGAGATGATGAACTTTATGGCAGGTAACTTTGGGGGAGGTCAAGCGCTCCTCAGCCAGACGCCTATTATTTCCTGGGAGGATGCCTGTGGACGAAGGAGCTGGCAGGTGGCACGAAGGATAGAGAAGGAACCTGGAAATGGTGCATGGCCAGGTGAGACGTCAGATCCAAATGGCCACCTGGAGGGAGGTGTTTTTGATAACCGCACTGGCACTGCTGACTTTGAAGCGTAACTTGGCAACTCCTCTTCAGGGGGCTCTGCTCCATTCTACAAAGGAAAAGCAATCTTTGATCAGAATCTCATAAAATCGTCTGGGCCTTGTACAGGGCTACAGTTTTTCCATCTATTTCCGCTTAGCTCCCTGTGTGGAATAGGCACGTGGGATATTTTTGTGCTTTCTGATGCACATACAACTTTTAGCATGGATGATGTACCTGGCACTGAGATCCAAAAATTATTAAAATGGCACCAAAATAAAATGCCAGGTGCAAGAGTGCCTAAGCCAGTGTACTCAAGCTTTCATGCTAGTGCCTGTGGCCCAGCGATCTTGCTAAAATGCAGATTCTGTCTGTAGGTCTGAGGCCCAAGAGTCTTGATTACTTAAAAACCCCCGAGTGCCACTTGTGCTCCTCATCTGAGGACACTTGGTTGATGGAAGTTTGGAGGTTGCCTGGACTTGCCGTTTCCCAGCCTAGCAGTACTTTGGCATCACTTGGGGGGCTTTAACACTCATGATACCTGGGTCCTACTGCCACAGGTTCTAATGTCTGGGCTGTGGCAGATGTGTGGGCATGGCAACTTTCAGACACTCCCTAAGTGACTGCAATGGCCAGCCAATGGTGCGCCACAGATATGAGCCAATGCCCACATTTCACAGCTGGGAAGCTCAGCGGAAGCCTGTGAAGCCACTTTCCCGAGACGTCTCGCACATGATGAGTTAACGTCCCTGTGTTTTGCCACACAGCACCTCCCCCATATTTCATGGTGTTTTCTTGGTCATTATTTCCACTAAAGACAAACAATGATATCTCTTAATTCTTAATCTACATTATGTATCCCAGTATCATGTTCTGAAGTGGATGTGTTTTCCCAGTCTGTTTCTTTCCACCTCTCCTTGCTCAGTGAAAGGCGTCAGGGGAGAGGCGTGTGCTCTTAAGGGCTATGGTGCTAAGTTCTGTATGGGAAGGCGTGTCTTGAGGTGCCCATTGGTTTTCTTTACCTTGTGCCTGTCAACACCCCCATTCTTGGAGCTCTATGGTAGAAGAAACTTCCGATCACCTTGTCTTCCACCCCTTCTGTTTTCCTCCTCCTTCCTTCCCTCTTGCTCTAATCATTCTCTCCTTCCTTGCTCAAATATTTAATGGGGTCCTATTAAGTGGCAGACCCTGTGCTAGGCAGTGGGGACCACATGGTGGAAATGTGTCCAGCAGCCACTTGCTGTTTCTTGTGTCTTCCTGGTAAGGTGGGCAGCACAACTTAACACGTGTTTTGTAGACTGTTTGGTTTTTCTTAGCAATCTTATTCTTACTTCTTAGAGCAGAAAACCTAAGACAGGGTTAAAAGTTAAAATGACCCCTTGATAAATCTCCCCCTCAAATGTTGCCAGCTCTTAGAACTCTCCTTTTGATCGCTGATGAAGAGAAAGAGACTGATATTTGTGGTGTGATTATTGGATACCAGATATTCTATAACTAGTAGTTATTTAACAGTGGTAACACACAGATGAACAGTATGAGTGCAGGTAGTTAAACCTCTTTTCTAGAATTACCTAGCAATATAATGGAAAATCATAGGTTTTGAAGTTAGATCTCAAGGAGATCAGTTTTGCCATCAAATTTCATTCTTTGTAGCAGAAATCTATAACCTGGTGCTGGAGGAGAAGGGTCAATTCCCCGTCAGAAATAGTGCATAATATTTTATGTGTAGGGGAGGCTGTTCCGACGGAGAGCCAACAGGGCTCTCATCCTATTTTTGTGGGGAACGTGGCCCTTTAAATGGCAGTACTAACTTAACTAGAAAAGTCCTCTTACCCATGAATGAGGTCTCATTGCTGGGATGTTAGAGCCCTGGACTTTTGACAAAATTTGCTGAGTTCCCAACTGCGGGCACTCAGTGAGCAGGGGCTTTCCTGTCTGTCTTGGGAGGTAGGGAGGATTACAGCTTGGACCCATCCTGAAGACTTCCTTCCTGGTCCAGGTATACATATCCTTTGCTATTTTCTTGTTCACAGTTGAATGTAATAATAACGT